AACCATCGCCCTCCATCGACAATGGGCAATGTTAGCTGACTGACATAGGATGGATCAGGTTGGAAAGGAGCTAGTGGTGGTCAAACTAAAACATGGTTCCATTAGTCAATGAAATCCACAACAGTTAGTTTAAGCCACATAGGTAGGCGTAGACTTCGTGATTGGTTGGAGTTCTCGGGATGGTAAAAAAACCAATGAAGGCTGGCGACAATTGGTGATATGGCTCAAAATCATTCTCAATGGTTAGCGCAGATGCATTTATCATATCCAGTAAAACTCTACCGTTCTCTCATATAACTATTCTTTCTGCCCCATATTTCTGTATACTATCTCTGTTTTGAATCTCTCGTTACTCTCTTCTCTTACTTTTTGTGCTGCATGGAGGGAGTGTGGCAACTCGAATTGGTGGTGTACATTTGTGCGCAGTTCTACGTTGAAAGCAGTCCAGTCCATTGCGCCATCTATTTTCTGAAATCATTGATTTCTAAATCTCTATAACTGAAACCCAGGATAAAACCACTTCGTCTATCTTTCTGAAGTGAAGGCTGTTAAATCCACAAATTTAAATATAAGTCAACTAAATAACATGTAATTTATAAAGGTACTTTCTTGACGTCATTACCGAAGTTTTCACTGTTCTTCTTGTCTGTGATATAAGACATTTACGTGTATTGCTTGTTTTTATTTTAAATAATTTAAACATTAACATTTTCATTGTCTCATAAGTGTGAAATTCACATTTTTTGTTGTCATATACCAACTAGTTAATGTTTAGCACAACGCAATGGAGACGCACGGCTGAAGCCCTATGTTCCTATAGGAATTAAAGGATACAATAATAATAATAATGTTTAGCACAAATAAGCAGATATATCTGAAGACATCGATTATATAGTGTGATATGATTATGAGCTGTCAGTTGTTTTGAAAATGACATCAGTAAATAATAATAATAATACTGCATCACCATGGTTTCTTATCAGATGAAATTATTCTATGATGCATTATTAGATCGCTTACATCAAAGTATACCTAACTGAATGATAACTATACATGATTGCAAATGAAACAAATAAGCGTACTAGTAATTTTTTTGCATTTCGATGAATGTTTCACTCATTTACCTACTCTTTTAAATTATCAATAATTATAGTATATGCAACGGTAGTTTGCTTGCACGACTAAGCCACCTAATTTTCTATCTATCACACTGCATCGACTCTACTCCGTTTCACATATCGCTTTAATTCATCCGTTTGATATCTTACCATCTTGATCTGTACTCACTGTCACTTTTAAATCACTTTCAACCTACTGCAATACATTTTTCGAAAGAATTAAAGGGATAGGGAGGGATGAAGTTTGAATCGGACTTTGGATAGAAAAATATTGTGTCAGATGATAAACTCTCGAACATCATTCTACCACGAAAATCCCTTACATGGAGTAAATTTTTCGCATTAAAACACTGAAAATTCTATACTACACGTAAACATATCTCTCTAGAATAAAATGATTTTTCTAATCTTTTCCAAGTAGCATAACTATCACTAATTAATGCAAATAACTATAATTAGTCGCCACATTGTTCGTTGACAAATGTAATCTGCTCCACTTAACACAATTAGTAAACTGAAATGTTATATTCTGAATACAAATACACTTGCCATCCATTGGACTGTAGAAATGTATCTGAATGGAGAGTTTACACGTGATTCATATGAAATGCGTATAAAGAAAAAGGGAACTGATGTACAGCCTTTAGTACTTATCAATGAACTATACCGCCCATATGAAAGCTAATAATAGTATTACTTGTTTTCTCAAACTCTTTAAAGTAATACTGGATTCAAGTGCCTGTTGTCTTCTGATTCCATTTATTACTTGTAAATATATGCAATTATATATATAACCAGCCAAGGACCTATCATGCAACAAATATACCGAAGAAAATATAGACCGATCAGGCACACGTTGAGGAAACCATTGAATGACGTCGTGAGCCAGGCGTTCAAGTAGAAACCTGAATGGGCTACAGAGAACAGGATGAAATAGAATTGTGGTGTTAATGCTCTGTGTTCCCCTTAGAAGTTGATGGAATAAAATTAACATATAAGTATTGGATTTATTTGTTTATTTTGTTATCTATTGATAATTAACTTTTGCGCTTCTGTTTTACCCATAAAATCAGCAGTCTAATTATCAAGGCCTTTTTGTGAAAAAGAAATGACCGTGTAAGATTTGCTTCCACAGATTGTAATTGACCTTCATCCAAGTAGCATAACTATCCGGTCTACAGTATGTTGCTAAATGTTTAGGTCGCAATTCAGCTTGTTAGTACTTAGATAGAAAGCATTTCATCTGAATCTTGATAAACTTTTTTTTACCAGTAATGATTGTAATTTCAGTAGTCAATGGTTATTGTAAAACTTGATTAATCTTCTAATTTCTTTTGACTCTTTTATTATTTCAATTATCACTTAGTTACTCGATAGTAAAACGGTGAACGATCTTTCTTACTACGGTGTTGAAATGCTACTATCCCAGCATTTTTAAGTTCATCTATTGTATGAGTTACGCACCTTAGTTTCATTTAGGCGTTTATCACACTTCTTGGAGAAAGAAAAAGTAGTTTAACAACTAATGACAGACTTTTAAATTGTGCCGTTAAGTTTTTTCTTTTGAGTGTATTTTCCAAGTTATATTAACTGCAACAAAAGCTATCTTTTTGTAAAGTCTGATCTGACATGTTAAAAAGTATCCTAATATTTCTTAACTTCACAAATAAATAATTCTTGGCTTAACTTTATACTGACAATGCAAATGTTAACACTGTTTGCACGGACTAAAGACCATGTGGAAATTGAAGAAAATTGATTTTAGCACTAATTGGTTATAAAAAAAGTGGAATCGATACACATCCTCTCTGATAACTTGATTATTGATTTTTATGACACCTGGTTTCATATTGTTTGTCACCCATATAATCATCATGAGCCATCAACCATTCCGCTTTCAGAAATTATTATTGCATTTATATCAACAAATACGTTACTAGTGGGTATGATATATCACGTGAATTATTAGTTATGAGAAATAAGACAAATAAATGAATCTTATACCCTTGAAAACAATTCTTACAAATTCAATTCTTTTATAAGTATCTACTTTGGTTGAAGAAGTTACTTGCTGTGCATTTTTGAATCAAATGTTATTGTTTCTTTTTTTGTAACTTTATCGACAAACTTTTGTGTTCTCGTTCTCATGTGATGATATTAGAATGAATGAAGTAAATGAGTAGGTAGAATTTTCTTAAGTTGTTCAATGTAACAAAAGTTGTTTTTTGTCATGGAAATCACTACATGATTGTTTAAATTGTTACTCTGGATTTAATGCGCATTATATTTTCACCTCAGCTGTTTTTTGTACTAACAGTGAGATTTACAAATATTTTTGTTACATTAATATAAGGACAATTAAACGTTAATTACTTTAATCCTGTTCTTACCACTGTAGATCAAACTTGATTTTGCTGGAGAACATAATTCATACATCACCGTTTTATTCTTCTTCTTCTTGTGCATTTGATTTTCCGAAGGAAGCGACAGTAATTGAATGTACGTTGCCGTAATATTGGTAGAATACTGACGAGTCGCATATATGGTCCGAGTTTGACTGCTGGCCGACGCACACCTAAAAAAACTTCGCTTGTCCGGTACTAAGAGACGGGTTACGTGGGAAGGTTGTGAGTGAGACCAGCAACTTCCTCGCGTCAAAATACATCACTGCCATTGAAAACTGAAGTTTGGGGTTCTGTGTTAGCTGACGTAGGGTCAGGTTGGAAGAGAGATTGATGGTCAAACCAAAACATGACCTCAACAGTTAGTTTAAGCCACGTATGAAGGTGTAGACTTTCTGGTTGGGGTCCTCGGGACAATAAAAAACCAATGAGGACTGGAGACGATTGGTGAAATGAATCAAAATCGTTCTGAATGGCTGGCGCAGATGCATCCACTCTTTTTGACTTATAATACCCAATAAAACTATATTGTTCTTCGATATTACTATTCCTTTTGCCTCATATCTCTGTTTACTGTCTCTATTTTGCATTTCTTTTTACTTTCTTCCCTTGATTTGTGTGCTACATTGTGTGTGGCGACTCGAACTGCTGCATATCTGTGCAAAGTTCTATGTTGAAACTAGGCAGTCAGTCAGTTCCACTCGGAACGCAAAGGAATGAAAGTAGTGATATTCATTGTTTGACATCAACAAGAAGCTACATCTTGTCTGTATCAAGTTCATGAATGTTTTGTTTGTAAATCCATTTATACCAAAGGTAAATCCCACTACCAGCAGAAGCTAAACACTTCAAGGGGAACATATTTAACCTTGATATCACAACACTTAGTGCTTTGCATTAATCACTGATAAATTTCTAAGAATTTATCTAACTTTAAACACTACTGCTGTCTCAATCACCTTATTTGTCAAGCTGAATAATACAAGTCAGTTTTTTTGGAGCGGACTATAAAATGCTTCGTATATATTCCATCTATCTGTAGCTCTCAACTTTTTGCTCCCTAATCCCAAGAACAAAAGCAGATACTGAAGACAAACTTTTCTGAGGTCAGAAATGTCTTTGTCTACTTATTCTTAGGCATCATCCTAGATTTGATTTGATTTTTTTCCCACTACTTTAACTATCTGTAGTCACCAATAGTTCTGTATCATTTTATCAACTCTGTATTAAGTTTTTAAAGTATTTGTTGTGTGTAGTTTGTTTAATTTGGTTTCCACTGCACATAGTGTTGTTTGTTGTTCCTCTTTTAATACATGATCAATTGCTACATATTTTGTGTGTGTGTTTTTTTTGTGAATAGATAACTTTCTGCATGTTATTTAGCACTTACAATCTTTCATTTTAACTACCTATTTGTTAAAACGGATAACCTGCTATGATCATATATTTGTATTCCTTTTATTTTTTCTATTTGTATTAGAACTTTAAACCAAATCATCGAGCGAATGATGTAATTGCTACAACTGGCACTCCTGCTCTTATCACAGGTCGATTTGTCCTCGGTGGATTGGATCTAATGAGTTTTTCTGGTGAAAAAGTAATTTTTCAATACTTTCATTTCTTTCTTTTTTCATAATAAAGAAAGGCTAATTTCACTCCTTTAAGAGTAATGTGTTTAAAAGTGTTTTGATTCCCATCAGCTGCATAAATGAAGTTCAAGGTTTAATTTTATTTGTTAAACACCCTGTGTACAAACAATGATTAAGCTATTCGAAATTATTATTAACTTTTCGAAGCTGTTGATCTATTTTTATAATTAAGACTGAAAAAAAGGAAATTAGTACACCATATTTAAAAAATATGTGTTTACTGTTTAAACACAGACTTTACAAAGTATGTGTGGTGTTCATTGTCTTTGAAGTTTATTTACCTGAACTTGAATTCCTCTGTAAAGAAGACAAGACTGAGGAGCCTGAAAGGAATGTTTATTTGGTAAATCGTATGGTACATAGCTAAATTTGGAATACCATATTCTCAGCCGGCCATTTGCACATCATTTACCACATCCTTGACGAATTGGTCGAATATCGTCACATTCGATAGCTTCTTGGATTCTGCATCATATGGCAACATTCTTCTCATGGTTCTCTTCTTTGATTGCTCTTCCCAGTGTGCCAAACATATTGTCACTTCGTTTCCGATATACTACTTATATCGGATTATAAGTAGCACTCACCACACCTCCGTTAGATGATGTGCTGTTTGTTGATCAATTCTCTGACGGCTTTTCAGTGTGTTTTGTTGTCTTTACTGATGTACTGATTGAAAAAAGTATATTCTAGTCTTGTTTAATCATGTATGTATGGTCATTAGGAAACCAGTAGATATCAGATTTGTTAATGTAAACACCATATGATCATTTGTAATGCTTTCTGTCTATTATGCACCATTCTATGGTGTCTTCATCACTTTGGTATACTTAAGACACCATCTAAATTATTCAGCTGACAGAGTAAATGAAATACATTTGACTTATCTTAATGTATAACAAGAGTACAGTTTCATTTTCATTACAGTTGAAAAGATGGCAACAAATGTATGCGCTGTTATTCTGAATTCGACGAGATGAATTCGCTGCTGATTGATACAGCCCCTAGATTGTTAATTTCTTTGAACCTTAACAGTATATTCTCGCTATTTTTCTTCATCGATCACTTACTGTTTTGACAACTGAGCATAATGACGATGAAGTTGATTATTCTAGTTTTATAAAGATTTTGAATGTTATTTCACTTGATATTGATCGCTTTAGTACTCTTTATTCTTCACACTTTCCTACTTAATGATGATACTCCATCACTTAGTTATTAGTGTGTAAATTGTTTTTTTTTCACAAAATAACTTATACTAACAGACAACTTTTAGTCCGTATATTTATAGATTTTCCCATATTTGTATAATTAATTAACAGATTCGCGTAGAAATCCAGTCTGTCAGTGGATCTTGGGCGTATGTATGCACAGAAGTCACTGATTCTTCTGGAAGATTACGATTTTTCTTACCAGAGCAGCTTCACTTACCTGATGGACTTTATCCTATAAAAATGACACCTGAATCGGATCCTGACCACCCTGTATTGATTACTTTGGCGGTAGTACCTCCACAGACTGAAGTTGTTGTCTTCAGTGTAGACGGTAGTTTCGCTGCAAGTTTGTCTCTTATGGGAAAAGTAAGTTTTTGTTTTGTTTTGTAAATCCAGTTCTTCATTTAGTTTTACTCACATTGATATATTCAGATAGTCAATTGAATATTTTGTTTTTTCCTAAGGTCTTTCTTGTTTGAGGAATTTTAAGAGTTATTGAGTCTGCTTACAACTTTGAGTTAACGTATATATCATGTTGAGAGTGTAATAGTTTATTTTGCATCTTTCTCATCATCATCATCTGTTTAATTCTTCTCTTTTTATAGGATCCAAAAGTTTACCCTGGTGCTGTTGATGTTGCACGCCACTGGCAGGGATTAGGATTTTTATTAATCTACTTGTCTGCTCGACCAGATATGCAAAGACGTCGAGTAACCAGTTGGATGGCAAATCATAATTTCCCATTTGGATTAACTTTCTTTTTAAATGGTCTATACACTGATCCATTGAAGCAAAAAGCTCAAATGTTGAAAACGATTATTGAAAATGTATGAATTTCGTTTTAGTTTTTATTTATTTTGTTTCTAGTACTACTACTTTTATGTAATGTTTAGAGAGAATGTATTTTGACTGGACACTAGTAACTAGTGTGACGTGTCTAGTCCTTTCTTTGATGCAGGCAGAATTCTATCAGTCAGGTTTTGTAATGTGACCACCATTCTAGGTAGCTCACCATCACAGTGCACATTGATTTGATGATGTCACACTGTAAACTAATGAATACATTAAAACTTTTATATATTTCACAACGTATTTATGTCCCAAACAAGGAAAATACTTCTGAGACGTTTCGGTTAAAATGTCAGCTTTTTTCTCCAAGAATCGGCTTTTGTAGGGATTCTATTTGTTCCAGGTTATACTACGGATTAATTTCAGTTAGAGAATCATTGAAAACCAATGAGTACTGGACAGCTGTTTCATCCTGTTTTGGGACTCACCGACAGTACTCACTCACTCGGTTTCGAATTAACAGGAGTTAGAATTCGTGAGTCTTTGGTTCCGGTCCCAGTGGCTGAATGGTATACGAGCTTGCATTGTAACTGGGACGTTCTGGGTTCGAAACCCAATGGGTGCATACTGCCGAGGATTCCTGAACCAGAATCAAATAGCTGTCCAGTACTCCCTGGTTTTCAAGGGTTCTCTGACTGACCAAAAATAAGATGTCGGTGAAAATTTCATAATATAGAGTTCTCCATAAGGTGTAGTAAGTTATACTTCATCATTCGTTTACGCAGTCGTTCACTTTTACATTTTGGAAATGCGTTGTAACAGGAAATAAATTAATTGAATTTTACAGATGATTCATGGATAATCCCCATTCAGGCATTAATGAAAACAAAACATGTAGATCAGCGAAGAGTCTCTTTTCGGCGAATTCATTTTCTTAGCTGTACAATCGCACATATATATGTGTTATTTTGTGTGTATGTATACATTAAGTTTGTCAAACACAATACAATTGGTTATGGTTATATTAACTAAACAGGTGAAGATTGGTAATTGGAGTTACGTAATACAAAATCGGCCAAGAAAATTAGGTGATAATGAAATTAGGGTAGTAAAACAAAGGAGATGAGTTGTCACAAACAGTTATTAAAAGAATTTATGTAATAATATGAATAGTTTGATGACTGGGTTTTACTCAGGATGCACATAGGAACAAAGTAGATAATACGAAGTTATGTAAGAGTTCTAAATGAATACAAGAATTATAAGCAACTAAAGAACAGGCAAAGAAACAAAATTAAGTCATCAAAATAAAAAAATCAAATCAAAAAAGTTGTTACCATGACAGTAGAAGTGGTTGAGGAATCCTCTTTTGTATGCACAGCTCCGGTTTTTCTGTGTGAATGGCCAGAGCTTCAGCGATACAAAGAAGACGAAACCGTATTTACAGATGATATGAAAAATGTATAGTGGCTTGCGAGGAGTAGCGACCAGCCTCTACTGTCCAAGCATGAGAATTCAGTTGCTCATAGCTTGTTGTTAATTGTTGCTTTTATTCATAAATGTCCCGATATAATATCTTTAAAATTAATGTGTGTTTAAAGAATGCAATGAATTGTGTCACCGATAAAAAGTCGAATTTCTGTAGCCTACTTAGTGTTGAATCAGATTTCGTAGAATCATTACAATCGATATAACTAGCTTAAAAGCAAGCAGATTAATGTTCACACTCGATGGCTAAATAGTAACGGTCACTTTGTAACCTGTAGTTCCTGAGTTCGATCTCTCACATAACCCTTATGGGGGGGCGTTGCTGAAGAGTTTCAAACTCTGATGAAATAGCTATGCAGTGCGTTCGGGTTTCTAACGGTTCGTCAAATGATGTTGGTTTGAGCCGAAATTTACCCTGAAATCCATCCAGTCCCCATAGCACCTCAGTACCTGAAGATATCTGAGTAATTAGAAACTCTTTCAACTCTACTTATCAGTCCTTGAATTCTTTTCGGTATATAAGCCCATGTGCAAAGTTAGTTTAAATTTGAAGATTTCGATTTTAATGTTTCCATGCATATGTAGCCTTGAATGTTTCAACATCTTGATTTCTTCACTTATTTAAATTTTTGCTTCTCATTTTTATTGAAATTATTAGGCCAAATTACGAATTCATTGTGGCTATGGTTCTGGTAAAGATATTAATCTATATCGTTCTCTTGGTTTATCTACTCATAATGTTTTCTTGATTGGGAAAGTGTCTCGATCCCAAGCGTCAAATGGAACTGTAAGTTCTTTTAAAACTTTTATTTCTTTTATATATTCTTTTCTTACAACTAAAGTATATTGTGCAAACCACTTGTTTCAATATTCATGGTGTAAAAAATGGCTTTCATTTTTCTGCAGGTATTTGAAATATACACACGTTTATCATGACAATCTATCAACAACAAAACAGTTGATCGAAATGTAGAACATGAAAGTTGAATGGTTAGGATGTTTAAATCATGTGGGTTTTTTTATTCCTTCACGTTCCCAATGGAACATAGGGCTGCAGACTAGGAGCTTGAAGATTCTGTAGCAGTGGTGATTATTTTTACAGGATGGGGTTGCTAGCCTCATGCCCAACCTTTCCTCTTCACCAGCATTATTTCTGGCTTAGCGAGGTTAAGGAGTGCGTCGGCCGGGATTCGAACCCCGGACCATGTGCATGATCGGCGAGCGTCCTAACCGCTGTGCCACCGACGCATAGTTAGGAGTATACCACCCTATAATTTGTGCGTCGGTGGCACAGCGGTTAGGACGCTCGCCGATCATGCACATGGTCCGGGGTTCGAATCCCGGCCGACGCACTCCTTTACCTTGCTAAGCCAGAAATAAAGCTGGTAAAGAGGAAAGGTTGGGCATGAGGCTAGCAACCCCATCCTGCAAAAAATCAACACTGCTACAGAATCTTCAAGCTCCTAGTCTGCAGCCCTATGTTCCATTGGGAACGTGAAGGAAAAAAATATTCCTAACTACGATGCGATAGCTGCCTGTACCAACTCCAGCTGGATAAGCTAAATGCAAAACTTGAAAAGTTAATAATATAGGAAGTTCTCTAGTTAGTAGCTATTCAGTCTACATTTTAAGCATTTATCAGAGTATACTACTCATGTAATGAAAGTTCAACATCAGTTACTATGATCGCCGTCTATGTTTAAACGTCCCTGCCCGCCCCCCCCTACTATAAAAATTGTTTTGTCTCTTATTTCGAACAATCACACTAATATTGAACCATTTCGTCCTACTTTGAGTTATATTTGTGTACATACATGACATGGTATTTTAATATTTGATATTAATGCACATACAGAATTGTGTCTAACTATAAATCAGTGTTGTTCACTAAATATCTTTGATAACTTCCTTATCAAAGAGCAGTTTTAGTAGTGTGATTCGAACTGGATACAAAAATAGGCATCCAATTAAATCTAGTGACAACAATATAGCGTATGTGTAGAATAAATAAATTGGAAGCATGATGTATAAAACAACAGTCGAAGAGAACACCGTTTGTATCGAAAACCAGTTGATGACAGTGTTAATTATATTGATATAGAAAATATCCCCATTTAGACATTTGGAAAACAGAAAGACTGAGCGAAGAAATATTTACTTTACTCATCTCTACTCTAATATATATAGCATTTTTTACAATACACAACAATTTACCAAACAAGTGCAGCTGCGGAGCCAGCTACATTGGGCGTACAATTAGGCAGTTTCATCGTCGTATTTCTGAACATCATCCAGCGTGGTTAAGCAAGGGACAAACAAGATCTATTCGTAGTTCTATTTCAGCACACCTTGTTGATACTGAGCATAAGGTTGATGTTAATACTGCATTTAAAATTATTTATCGCATTCCGACTAATCTTAACTTTGCTCTAAGAGTTCGTCTTCTACAGACAGCTGAAGCAATCGGAATCCACCAGAAGAAGCCAAGCCTATGTGTACAGAAGAAATTTGCACAGCCACTTTCCTTACCGTGGCCATCGTTACAAGACAGGACTACGTCGCTCCCCACCCCCTAAACCTATTAAATTATAATTGTCCAAATTATTTTATTTTTATTTTGACCACTTCATCTTTAATTACGTGTTATCCTTGTAAAATTAATTCATTCTATCTATTTCTACCTTTTAAATTTGTATTGATTTTCTTCGTTAATTATCAACCCATTGACATTTTGACACTTTAATTATTGTTAACAAACATATCACCACTTGTTTGGTAAATTGTTGTGTATTGTAAAAAATGCTATGTATATTAGAGTAGAGCCAGAGATGAGGATCTAATTGAAAAGTAAATATTTCTTCGCTCAATCTTTCTGTTTTCCAAATTATATTGATGTTTATAAAGCAGTTACATTTTACAATGCTCTTAAAAAGACAATACTTGAAATGAGCATACAGTTTGCAAAGCTTATATATATTATTATTATTAAACAGTAGAGTATTTAGTGATAACGTTGACTCCTAGTGGAGTCCTAGACTCCTGTCAATGAATTAAATTAGTTATAACTGTAGTTGTATTCAAACAGCATAGATACCTTTCTCTATTTGACATTGTGTTGGCACTAATTCAGTTTTCACCGTAAATGGCCTTGTACGACTGAGAGTAGGTAGGTTTCAGTCTTAATCTGGCCACGCTTTCATAGTCTCTACCAGGTAAGTCCTATTCACTGTCCTCACGTGGCACAAGTGTTCTTCAAAAGAGTGGGTGAGCGACTAGGGACGTCTGGGCACCAGGAGATGTGCCACACAACATCTCATAATTTGTACGATTGCTGGGATACTGCTTAGACGCCCAGACCGAAGCAAGTGGTTATTTTAAGATACCAATTTGACTTGCAGCCTTATCCACATGGCAGCGGAGCAGTGTCAGCAGCTACGTTCCCAGGGTTTCCGCTGACTAAAACAGGTCTATATTCCATTCGATTTGTTCGGGTTCTGAAGCTCATTTAAACCGTAGTTTTGGAAGTAGGATTTTTCAACCCCCTTAGATAGACCTGCATTTCTACCAGTCCGGTTGTAATCATCAGATGTTCGCATTCGCCTTTTCACTTTTGTGATGAACTCCGCAGACGCGTATGAAGACAGTGAATAGGACTTACGTGTCAGTGGCCACGAATTTGGAGCATTTCGAGAGAAAAATCTAGGTCTACTCTTCTTCAATAGTACCGTATCGATTATGGGGTCTATTCGATCAATACAATGTCGTTTAAGTTTCATTGACTTTTGTACAAAATTAAGGTTTCGAATTTTACTGTTTTCACAGAAGTTCATTTTTCCTTTTAATTGTGTGATGCACTTCTTTTGTATTCTCCTTTCTTTTAACTAGTGAATTCCATAAATACATCCGATTATCCCTTTAACTTCCCAGATTTATCTGTCTTTATCAATATCTTTATTTTACATAAGTAAATCTGAGTATTAAACTTGCTGATCTATCCATGTAACAATGTCTTTATGTACCTCATAATTTGTATAATATTTCAGAAGAGTCTAGATATTTATTAAACTTAAATGTCTCGTTAAATTACTTTGTCGTCCATGACTTAGGTAATTACTTTTCACAACTGTTGCTGACATAATACATAAAGTAAATATGCCTTCTATTTATCAGAAAAGTATGCACATAAATTATTCAAAGTACCACATGATAATCAATAAACTAAAATCAATATTATCAGAGCATATTGTATCAAATAGGTAATAAAGACGGTATCGTGTGAGCAGTGTACTTACGGTTCATATATAAAGACAGCTCTAGTTTCATTTTATCGGAAGTTTTTACTAAATTTTCATTCTTTCAATTTTATAAAATGAACGGATTTTCTACTCATTGACTCTGGCATGCAGGATAAATACTCCCCGTATATTGTAAGCCCTTTTTCTTTTATCATTGAATCTTTGACATAACTTGAAATCACTAGTTATAACTTCCTGTTATAAAATACTATGCCATGGAATATTGTGTCACGTTAACTGGTTAATAAACAAGTAATCACCCCTGTTAGCACTTTTTATTTTGTCGTGTTAATACGATTTTTTCTCCTCATAGTCATCATTTTTACATATTCCTCTTTTCTTTTTTTTCCAGCCATTGTTAAATGGATATTCAGCGCATTTATCTTCGTTAGTGAACGGTCATCCTTTGTCTAGACCTGCTGTCGGAGCAATGAGTGTAGCAGTCCGCTGTTGTCCATTCGACTTACCTTCTGTGTGTCCTTCTTCACCTTTATTGAAAGAATCTGATTTCCTTCGAAATAATTCTGCCAAATTTTCACCTTTATCAGACAAAACGTTATCACCTACTCTAAAAGAGAATGAGAACGCCTAAGTTTTTACCGCAATTTGCTGTTGTATTTAAACAGAAGTGGTCATAGATAATTAAGATCAATAATATTACTATTTTTTTGAATTTGTATTTTATTTGTTTCAATGATAAACATGTTTCTTTCTCCTCCGAACTAGCTGGTTACCTGCTGGTTTCTTCTTTTATTTTTAAATTCTATAATGGTTCGAAGTATTTACATCTATGCAGTAACTGTGTTTAATGCTTAAAATTATTACTGTTGTATTTAAATATACCAGCTCATTGAAATATGATGTTCTTCATATCAAATATGTGTATATGCTCATTTAAAAATCTGTCATCCGTTTCTAATTACCTTTCCCTTTTTTTCTTTCCTAAAGTATACATCCTACAGATTATCATTCCTCATAATAAAAAGACTCGAACTACATTCCTGCTTACTATTCTGTACAAGTGATTAATCATACATATATCCTTATTTTCTATCTGCTCCCTCCATTTCCAAATTAAGTAATATCTACACTTTCACATATAATTATATATATATATATATATGCTTTGTATTCTTCAGACATTTCATTGGAAGAAAGAGTATTGATTTTAAGTAACTGCTTGTGATCCCTTTGTTCAACTGGCAAATTTACGCTTTTTGTTTATTAGTTAAATTCTTTATGCATTCTGTAAAAATCATTGCTATTATTTTTGTTGTTGTTAGTCAGTTGATTCAAAATAAATACCTGTATCGTTATATATTAGTGAAATTAAATTACCACTCCTATTGGGAATCGGTTGATGAGGTTGTAGTGGGTCTTAACTGGTTGGAGCTACCAGAATATATTAACTCAGTACCATCTTCTTGGAAGAGAACTGTCTTCAGAAAAGGTAAGGAATGATCAGATCAAAACACGGGACTTAATCCTAGTG